CAGAAGCTAAGTATTTACTTTACAAACGAAAGTGGCCCATACCAGAATGTTTGGAATGTGGCCCAGTACAAAGTTCACAGTGGGCTACCTGCAAGTAACCCAGCCACATTCTTTCAACAAAATGGCTGTCTTCTAAAACTATATTCTACAATTTACACCTTCAATAAATCCTAAGATCATGACCCAGAAGCCTGTGACCAATACTAAGGCTCTTAGATGTGACACGAGTTTGAATTATAAGTGTGTGAAAGTCAAAACTGCAGTTTGTGGAAGAATGGGAGCAATGAGCTTCTAAAGTTAGCTTGTGTTCTTCCTGATCTCAGAGTTTTTATGTTTTGAGCTCACAGGAGCTTAATCTGGTTAGTGCTGAGTAGAAAGGGGGAGGAAATGGGGTCAGTAGCTCCTGAACGCATCCTAGTGGTCTCAGGGTCAATGGCCCTTCCTGATCCCTAATGCTCAGTGGGCCTCCGTGGCCGGCTCCCAACAGTAGTTTTCTGTTTTTGGTTGTATCTTTTCCTGACTTTGATATCAGAGTGATACTGGCCTCGTAGAATGAGTTAGGGAGAATTCCCTTCTATTCAATCTTGTGGAATAACTTTGCTAAAATTGGTACCAGTTCTTAAATGAAGGTGTGATAGAATTCAGCTGTGATTTCATCAGGTCCTGGACTTGTTTTGTTGTTGTTGGGAGACTTTTAATTATTGTTTCAGTTTTGCTACTCATTATTGGTCTGTTCAGGATTTCTATTTCTTCCTAATTCAAGGTTGGGGAGTTGTATGTTTTCAAGAATTTATCCATTTCCCCTAGGTTGTCTAGTTTGTTTGCATAAGGGTGTTTATAATAGTCTCCATTTTCATTTCTGTTTGAGCTAATTTGAGTCGTCTCTCTTTGTTTCCTAATTAATCTAGCTAGTAGTCTATCAATTTTGTTTACCTTTTCAAAGAGCCAAGTTTTTTGTCTCATTAATCCTTTGTATTGCATGTAAGCTAAGGCTAGGCTTACTCTAGTAACTCTTGAAACATGCAGGTAAAATGATAATCATGCATTCACTATAATATGTCATGTAACGAAAAGGTGTTTTCCAAAAACATTTAAGGCCCATAGTACTAGATTTAAAAATAAAATTTCTATGATTGAATAATTAATCTCAATATGATCATTTGATATGGATGTTTTTGGGGACAGCAATTTAGTATACAACAAAAACTGTAACTATTGGCAAAATGAAATGTGAGACTTAATTAAACTGAAAACCTGCAAAGCAAAATAAGTAATCAACAAATAGGCAACCTACAGAATGGGAGAAGATATTCACAAACTATATATCCACAAAAAAGACTAATATCCAGAATCTACAAAAGAACTCAAACAAATCAGGAAGAAAAAAAGCAAGTAACCCCATTAAAAAGTGGGCACATGACATAAACAGACATCTCTCAAAATAATATATACAAATGACCAACAAATAGATGAAAAATGCTCAGCATCACTAATCATTAGTGATATGCAAATTAAAACCACCTTATGCCAATCAGAATGACAATTATTTTGAAAATAAAAATGTCTATGTTGGTGTGTATGCAGTGAAAGGGAACACTTATATACTGCTGATAGGAGTGTAAAGTGGTACAACCTCTATGGAAATCAGTATAAAGATTTCCCAGAGAACTAAAAATAGCTCTACCATTTGATCCAGCAATCTCACTACTTGGTACCTATCAAAAGAACAGAGGTCGTCATACTGAAAAGATACCTGCACTTGTATGTTTATCACAGCACAATTCACAATTGTAGAGATGTGGAATCCACCTAAAAGCCCCTCAGTTGATCAGTGGATAATTAAGGTGTGGTATGAAATACTATTCAGTCATAAAAAGACTGAAATAATGTCTTTTGCATCAACTTGGATGGAATCGGACACAATCCTCCTAAGTGAAGTAACACAAATATGTAAAACCAAGTAACATGTTCTCACTTATAAGTGGGAGCTAAGCTAAGGGTCTGCAAAGGCATATGGAATGGCATAATGGACATTGGAGACTCAGAAGGGGAGGGCAGGAAGGGACAGAGGGATGAAAAATCATCTATCAAGAGCAACGTGCAGAGGTGGGGGTGGTGGGAACACTTAATGTCCAGACTTCTTCGTCACTATGCAATGTATTCATATAACCAAAGACCATTTGTACTCCCTAAAGCTACTGAAATTTTTTTTTTAATGACATAGTCCATGAATATGTAATGGGCACTTACCAGAGCCAAACAATTCATTTCAATAATGTCTACAGGTGGTCCAGGAGTGCTGTGGATCTCAAGATTATACCAGAATTTCAAATTGCTAACATCATCATCTGAAAAATAGAACAAACAAAAACAACAACTAAAAAAAGCATTTCTTAGTATAGACTTCAAAATACCATACTTAACATACAAATTTGAGAATTATAAACAGACATCACTTTTAAACTTTTTAAAATGGACATATTTGTCAAGAGAGCTGTGAAAAGGGTGAAAATCTGCTTTCATCGCAGTTATTGAGCAATAAGAAAATCTTCAACCTTGCATGGCCATGAGAATGTCTTGTAAAAGCTCCTGGCCCTGTGCCTGTAATTCATTAAGTTCCATACTAAAATAAACTTAAGAATGTTTTACTTTTAAGTTAAGGATTAATGCTTCAAAAAGAAATAACCAATCTTTTTTCCCCCTAATTTCCTAAAAACATTCATGTATTTGTACATAGCAGCATCTAAATAAGTCATTACTATTCACAATGGTACGTTTCCAGGACCATAACAATCTAAAAAGAAAGTCAGGAATATGCCATTTCAGTTTTCTTAAAAATGTGTAAAAGGATCCTAAGTATTTAACCCTAGGAAGGCCTGAAAAGGATATGGAGTAAGTAATGAGACAATGATGTTTACACCTGGGTTCCCAATGCTTTATTAAAAAGCAGGCAATTTTGTCCCTGGTGATGTCCAAAACCATACTTCGTTACCGTAAACAAGAACCTTGACCAACCGCAAATGCTCTGCATAGACTGGTTTTGAAATTGCATCAAGTCCAGTTGGTTTCCCTGATTTTTTTCTGATCTGTTTAGTTTCCCACTTTGATATCCTTTTGTTTGCCAGTGTTGAACTAATTTATGGCTTAAGACACCCCCCCAGTTTCAGTAAATTGTATGTATATTCACAGCAGCATTGTCATGGTTAAAAGATTTCAAAAACTGTTACACTAGATTAATTTATTTAGGTAAAACACTAACCTCCTTAGGCCTCAGTTTCCTCATTTATGAAATAAGGAGACCAAACTAGTGGAATTCTTAGTGTCTCCTAAAAATCTTCTCCATGAGTATATGTTTTGCACTGCATTCCATGGTATTGTATTATGTGGCATAGTATGATAGTGAAAGACATTGATAGGATTGTGTTGGAGTATATTGCATGGCATTGTAGTTTACTGCACTGCACTGTTCTGCACCAGATTGAATTGCACTATATTCCATCTTATTCTTATAAATTGGTGGATGTGAGAACAATTCCAACATTCAGAGCAAATAGCTAATGAGATGGCGGTCCAAGTGATTTCTTATTCCAAATACTTGTGAGGAGTTCTTTAGGCAAACTTACCTCCACATTTTGAATTGCCTTCTGTGCTTATTTTGCAGTTCATTCCCTTAAAACCATTAATGTGAAAATAATGTTACCAAATTTATACTGATATGAGATTACTGAGGAAATCTTTGTTCACATCTGCACCTTCAATATATAAAAACACTTTAAATGCTTTTATGACATTTAAATGTTACTTCTCCCCAAATAAATCAAAGTTCTTAAAATGAAAAGTGTTTTTCCTTCTAGGTAGCTCATGCATATTTTATCTGGGAAGTCACAGAGAAAATAATGCTGGGAATAAACGGTAGCTGTGACTAAGGAGATTGTGACTTTGGGTTAGTAAAAAGAGTAGTAGAATGACTCAGGGTCTGAGGACCGGGGTTGAAATTTCAAATTGACCACCATTACACTGTGATCTTTGGCAAAGTAACTTAAGAGTCTGTGCATCTGCGGAATAGGGACTATATTAGTCAGAGTTCTCCAGAGGAACAGAACCAAAAGTATATATATAGAAAAAAGAGAGAGACAGATGAACAGACAGACAGACAAAGAGGGAAACAGAGACAAAGAGATAGGCAGATACTGAGAAAGACAGTGAAAGAGAAAAAGAAAGCGAGCGAGTGAGAGATTTTAAGGAATTGCCTCAGACAACTGTGAAGGCTTGGTAAATCCAAAATCTGCAGAATATCAGGGTAGGTCACCTTTTATTTTATTAAGCTTTCAACTGATTGGATGGGGGCCAACCACATTATAAAGGTTAATAGGCTTTACTCAAAGTCCACAAACTTAAAATGTTAATTTCTTCCAAAAAACACCCTTGCAGAAACATTCAGGATGAATTTGACCAAATATCTGGGCACTGCTGCCCAACCAAGTTGACATAAAATTAACCAGCACAGGCACTACAACAACTACTATTTGCAACTGTTGGGACTACTTCATTGTGGGAGGGTTATAGCTGATATAATTCCTACAGGGCTAAATATGTGCATTAAATATGAATTTATTGATTGAGTAGGATTAGTGAGTGATTTATTAATAAGAACCACAACAAAAACAATAATGTTAAACGTTATTTAACTATAAATATTAAACAAATTAAAGTTTTTTCCAATTATAAAATTAATAACATTCACTATAGCAATTTAGGAAATTTCTGAAAAGCGTGAAGAATACTAAAGTTATTCATACTCTCATGACTAAATGAAAGCTGGTTAGTACTTTTTGTATAAAATTACATACATTATACAATATTTATACATATATGCATATATGAACACACTGGGATATACACAATGTATGTAATTGATATATTTACATGTGTATATAAATATATTAATTTAACTTGTTTAGAAAATGTTCACCATTAAATTTTTAGTCTACATTATTCAACATAATAGATAACATAAGATATATTCTCATGTCTAATATTTTGTGCACATTTTTGCTTATTTTAACAAATTCTTTAGACAGAATCATTGGATAAAAGGAAATAAATTCTTAAAAGTTTTAAAGATATTATAAATGCTCTCTTCATAAACTTTATACCAATTTAAATTTCCATTATAATACATGAAATTGCCTCTTTTGACCTGAATCTCATTAAAATTGGTTGTTGCCATTATTTTTCTTGTTTTCCTATTTAGAAGGTTAAGAGTTTAAAACATTCTTAAATAGTTGTTGTTTTCATTTCTTTGATGAGAGGAATGCTGGAAGATGTCCCTAATTGAAAAGAAATATACTGTGGAGCAGTCTGTATAAAGGAACCCATGTTATTATAAGGGATGGAAAGGTTAATCCTGTATGAGAGTAAGAATATGGAAAAGCTTGTCTGAAGAATTGGGGATATCTGTAATGTTGTTACATAAATTTTTACTGGCTCTTAATCTATCCTGCAACCTGTCATTGTGTAACTCAGTATTTTTTTAATTAGACATCAGTCCGTTTTAATCCATTAACATAACATCATAATATTCTGATTCTATTTTAAACTTTTTTTAACACTTTAGCCTTCAAGAAGGTTTTCCTTCATGGTTCTTCTTCCTTACATTTGATAAGGATTTAATTTTTAGCATAATATATTTACAGAAGCCATTTATTCTTTGTCTTTACCTGCATGATTTCAACAGAAGTTGGGAGAAGTCTTAAACCCTTGCAATTCATTTTATTATTTTTTCACGTGATCTCTGCTTCAAAAATTTCAATTGACAAGTAGATATTGCATGTAACTGTTTTGCACAATCAGTATCAGAAAGTACAAAACTGTACTAAGCATTATAATTTCTTGGACTTTTGTTTTTGTCTAAATTTATCTCATATTTCACTTCATCAAGATACACACTTTATTATTATTTTTTGAAATCAACCCCCGTTTCATTCTCTTCTCTCAGGACAATCATCCAGTGCTAGTCTCTGGAATGTTTTCCATCTTTAAAAAATGTTTTAAAATTAAAAATTAGCCAGGCGTGATAGTGCATGCCTGTAGTTCCAGCTACTAGGGCGGTTGAAACAGAAGGATCATGTGAGCCCAGGATATTGAGGCTGTAGTGACCCATAATCCTGCCACTACACTCCAGTCTAGGAGACACAGTGAAACCTCAACTCAAAAAGCAAATCAACCAATTACATCAATAGACTTTGAGTAAAGCAGGTTACCATGAGGGGTAGGCCTCCTCCAGTCAGTTGAAGGTCCTAATGCAAACACTGAGGTTTTTCAAAAAAAAGGGAATTATTTCTCAGGAATGCAACACAGAACTCTGCTTGAGTTTTCAGCCTGCCTGTCTCAATACTAATTCTTACCTGAAGTCTTAGGTAGTTGACTTACCCTACAGATTTTAGATTTTCCAGCTTCCACAATGGTGTCAATTTCTGAAAAATCTACCTTACACACACACACACACACACACACACACACACACACACACACACACACACCATTGTTTCTGTTTCTCTGAAGAACCCTGACTAATGCAAATACATTCAATAAAACATTTGTTTCTTCTTTGATATACCTCTTGATCTTCACAACTTTGCTCCTGTTGAACCTCTTTTCTCTAGTAAACACTAATGTCCCTGCTACTCACTCATAAAAGAAAAACTCATTCACCACTCTCCAGAAAACCTGCCCCAACTATTCCAACACTTCATCAGCTCATTTTCCTTTGAACTTCTACTAAAAAGATATGATATTTAACAACATTCAAATAAAGCTTTATACTATAGGAAGGGAAAACAATAGCATTGTTTCTTTGGCATATGAGGAAGATTGCCAGCATCTCCTATATTGAAGTAAGAAAAGCATATTACATTATTAAAACAATGCACTTGCCATTTTTGCATTATTAAAATAATACACTCATTAACATCAGACATTTGCTGTAGTTTTTGTTTAATAACAAAAAGATGTGTAGAGATTTACACTTATGGAAGAGTAGGAAATCTTCTAGCTGAAGTATTATGATCTATTGTTATTAATAGCAGTAGAAATCCAGAAAGTATATTACATAAAATTAATACTAAAATAATACAATGAGATTCTTATAGATATATGCAACACAAATTTGGATATGTATTATGCATGTAACTTATCTATTACATTTAAAAGTAAATGACAATTTGAGTTTATGCAGACTGATTGTGAAACTGTATCATAATAAGTTTACCTGAGTTTCCATCACAAAAAATAGGGAATAGGTCTGTTACTGATTGATTAAAAGAAGATTTTAGATCTTCATGGATGTCTTCCTGAGAATCATCATCTTGTCTGCTTTTAACAGAAAATGAAATTGCACCTACAACACAGGTACAAGATGCCAGATTAATCAGGGATTCATTTCCTAAGATGAAAGGTCAGTTTTAGGTATTAAAGTTATTCTTGCGTGAAACATATAAATGTAAAACCAAACATAAAGTGTGGATTTATAGGATATTAGAATTAATTCTGATACTGATACAGAAAAATGTAGTGGAAAGTTCAATGAAATATTTTCAAAATCTCTATTAAAATGATAATTTTCAACAGTTTTTTTTTTGGAAAAAATTTAAAAAGTGACAAATAATCAAACTGCACCAGCTTTCAGAACACTTATTGGTCTTGGGTAACTCTTCTTCTTCTTCTTCTTTTTTTTTTTTTTTTTTTTTGATTTAGAGTCTCACTCTGTCACCCAGGTTGGAGTGCAGCGGCACGCTCACAGCCACCACAGTCTCAACCTGCTGGGCTCAGGTGATCCTTCCACCTCAGCCTTCCAAGTGGCTGGAACTATAGGTGCGTACTACCACTTGCAGCTAATTTTTTTGATTCATTGTAGAGAGAAGGTTTCGCCAAGTTGCCCAGGTTGATCTTGAACCCCTGAGCTCAGGCAATCCTTGCACTTCGGCCTCTCAAAGTGTTGGGATTATAGGCTTGAACCACCGTACCCAGCCTGGGTAACTATTCTTACATGTTCTCTTCCTATGTTATTTTTAATGCTCTACTTATTAACTCATTACAATAATATTTATTTTGTTTTATATAATATCCTAATATTCCAAGAACAAACTTTCAATAAATATTTGATATGCACAATGTTAAACATTGTGTTACAAATGTCACTGTCAAAAATTGTCACTCTCTGTTTGAAATTTTTGTTATACAAAAATTGACCTACACAAAATTGGTATTAATTTTTAAATTAAAGTTAATATATTTATGGAAATAATTCAGGCATGGGTCTTGATCTCTCTATAACAGCTGATGTAAACAAAACTTTGCATATAGAACTATATGTTTCTAGCCTTCCATCATAGTGAAATACCTTAGGTCAATGCCTACCAATACTGTGTGACTGAATTACGGTAGTCTCCATATCTCAATAATTGTGAAAACAATTAGAACTGAAATTAAACATCAGGATTTTGTTAAGTTTAACTTTAAAGTAAATTGCCACTTCTGGAAAAAATTGAAGGAATTATATTATTTTGGAGTATGATTTCCTTAGAGAGAAGCCTTGAAGTACAACCTTCTTGAAATGAGATATGAAAATGTGCTTGAAATAAAAAATATATATAAAGTAATTAACCAAAAGCAAAGAACAAGTTGTTAGTAAATGGTATCTTTATTCATATTTTATCATTCCTATTCAAGGAGTGGTCCCAAACAGTAATATACTATTGGCCACATTGCTCTTTGAGTGGACAGATATCCAAGGGAAAGAAATGCTTATTTGAAAAAAAATTATTTTTCACTTGCTTGTGTGAGAAATACAGATTTATTACAGGCAATTTCCCAGATAGGTGACTAAAGGTCCTGCAAGGTGTAATTTAGACCTGTGCTGTCCAATATGATTGCCTTTACTCACATGTGAATAACAGACACTTACAATATTGGTAGTCCTAATGAAGATGTGCTGTAATTGTGAAATATACACTACATTTCAAAGCCTCAGTGTAAAACCAAATGTAACATATACTATTAATAATTTTATATTCCTTATGGAGTGAAATTATACTTAACTTAGATGAAAAACATTTAAAAATCAGTTTCATCTTTCTTTTTATTTTTAATGTGATTACTGAACTATTTAAAATTATACAAATGGTTTGCATCGTATTTTCATTGCACAGTGTTATAATAGACAAACCATTTTCAATGTATATTGTACACATACAATATTTTATGGTGAACACACTGGCCTGAAACAATCTAAATGATTCACTGTTTGAATATATTTAAACATACACTTCTCAAGCTGACTCTCTTTTGATATTTAAACCTCAATTTTTGACTCAACAGTTACTCATGAAATTATTTTAGAATAGAAAAGAACAGAATAAAAGAGAACAGAGCAGAATAGAATAGAATAGAGCCAGAGTTGTCCAATCCAACTTTCTGTAGTGATGGGAATTTTCTATATTTGTGCTATACAATATGGTAGCCACATGTGGCTAGTGGAAGTTTCTTTGTTTTTAATTCATTTAAATTGCAGTAGCCACCTGTGACTAGTATCTGCATTATTGGACAACACAATCATTAATCTTTCAAGGTACATCCCATGTAGTAAAGATTAGTATGGTTTCATAAAATGTTTGTTTCATTTTTACATGTAGCTGTGTGTGTAACAGAGAGTGTGTGTGTTTGTGTTGATTGAGTCACAATGTAAAAATCAATATTTTTTTACTTTAATTCCCAGACAAAAATGTTTGAAATCTACTTCTTTTTAAAGATGTATTATTCTCAGGGACATACATGTCCTTAATGTCCAATGCGGTGATTAAAAAAACACAGAAACATGACTTCTGTGAGTTTTTTATACTCTTTAGACATAACATTTTACCAACATCAATAGAACATTTGTTGTTTCTTCCATTTTATAAGACAGAGGATTGAGACTTAAAGAAAATGTGTCATCACATAGGTACCACTATCTTCATTTTCCCATTATTGGATTAGTTTTTTTTTTGTTTGTATGGGGTATAACTGTTATTAAAATAAATGTCAGTGATTTACTGTATTTATCCATACTTTTCAATAAGCTCTTATACATTAGCAAAAAATTTAAATCGGATTGTGAATATACTATAAGAAAGTATATCCAAAGAAGCTAAGGGAGGGCTCTCACTTCAGTCCTCCCAGCATCCCACAGGCATGGAAGTCTGGGGAATATTCTTCTTATTTCCCATTGCTTCCTCCAGATCATTTTTCCCCCCATCTCTTGAAATGTCAGGCTTCTTTGAAAAGCATGGCATTAGACAACAATGCCTACTATTCCCATCCTTGAGGTAGTTAGTCCTCTACTGAACTTAAGATCACCACTCTATATTGAATTTAACAATTTTACAAATGGTTTATTGTTATTGTCTTCTTAATTACTTCTGACATTAATCTTGATGTTCATCTTTCACATAAATCTTCTGTCTGATAACCAAGTCTAATAGGCATGTATGTATATATTTGTATATTTATTTGCTTTTATGTTTATGTACACATTCTTTCTCCCACACACACATACTCACACACATGTGCATGCGTGCACACACACACACACATACACACATTTACACTAGTCTAGGCTTTGTTCTGAAGTCTGAATATAATGTACAACATAAATTACCAAAAAATGATTCAAGGCATACCCCAAACTGACCTAAGCTAATCAGTGAAGAACAGAAGTTTAAATTTTTAGAAAGCATTAAAGATAGAGAAAAGAAAAAGTTGCAATTCAATAAAGGTAAAATTAAATTTATACATAGATTTAATAAAGATATTACTTAAAAATATAGGTTCAAAATACTTATCCTATCCTGCTTCCCATAAAACAAGAAGTAAAATAAAAATTGTATTACTCTTTCAAATAGGCAATTCTTAACACTTTCGGTGACATCACCTTTAATGAAAGTGTTGAATAACAGCCTCAATCTCATACTGTTAGTGAGAGTTAAAATTGGTATTACATTTTGTGGAGCGTTATTTTGTAACATCCACCAACTTGAAAATGCATGTTCCCTTTGAAACATCAGTTCTGTTTTTTTATCCTATAAATAACATGTATATTAATCTTATATTCCTACTTCAACTAGTACAGCGTATGAAGAGTTATTTACAAAGATGTTGTTGCAATATTATTTATAAATGCAAAAAGAGGAATTTGACTTCCATCTATACATAACTAGTGACATAAATTACTGTTCATCTAGTCAAAAGAAACAAGTCTATGACAATCGAATTGAAAGTGTCCATGATACTTTGAGTGAAAGCAGACACTTGCAGAACTTTATGTATTATATAATGTGTGTGTGTGTGTGTGTGTGTGTGTGTGTGTGTGTGTGTGTGTGTGTATGTTTTAAAGAATGTATATAACTATGCAATGGCCTTTGGATAAATACGTGAAAAATTTGAAGATACAGTTTCCTTTGAGGTCCTAGTTGTTGGAATATGCAAATCTTTTACTTTTCATATTACATCTCTCTAATTTTTCCTATTTTCTACAGTGAGCATGAATTTTTTTTTTTTTTTTTTGAGTTGGAGTCTCACTCTGTCGCCCAGACTGGAGTGCAGTGGCCGTTCCCGGCCACCGCAGCCTCAACCTGCTGGGCTCTGGTGATCCTTCCGCCTCAGCCTTCCAAGTAGCTGGAACTACAGGCACGCACTACCACACCCAGCTAGTTTTTTGATGTATTATACAGATGAGGTCTCACCAAGTTGCCCAGGTGGGTCTCAAACCCACGGGTTCAGGCAATTCACTCACTTCAGCCTCCCAAGGCGCGGGATTACAGGCTGAGCCACCAAGCCCGGCTACGATTTGATTGAAGAGTACAGAATGACCGGGCATGGTGGCTCAAGTCTGTAATACCAGCACTTTGGGAGGCTGAGGCCAGAGGATTGTCTGAGCTCAGAGGTTCGAGACAAGCCTGGGAAATTTGGTGAGAACTTGACTCTACAATATATCAAAAAATAAGCCAGGCATGGTAGTGCATGCCTGTAGTTTCAGCTACTTGTAAGGCTGAGGCAGAATGATCGCCTGAGCCCAGCAGTTCGAGACTGTGGTGGCAGTGAGCATGCCATTGTACTTCAACCTGGGTGACAGAGTGAGACTACAACTCAAAAAAAAAAAAAAAGAATGCAGAATGGTTTAATATTGAGAAACCTATTGACATAATTTATCTAATCAAAAGATGTGAGACATACCAATAATATGCAGATAAATTGTGAAAAAGCAGTTTTATAAAATTCAAAATCAAATTCTGATTTTATTAAAAATATTAAACAATAAAATAAATATGCCTCTTCAATATTATGAAAACCATATATCATAAAGCAGCAGCTAACATAATAAAATACTAAAAGGTTCACATTAAAGCC